CCCGTCGGGGAGCGCGGGGCCGGGGCCCAGGGGACCCCGGGCCACGGAGAGCGGGAAGAGGATGGACTGCCCGGCCCTCCCCCCCGGATGGAAGAAGGAGGAAGTGATCCGAAAATCTGGGCTCAGTGCCGGCAAGAGCGATGTCTACTACTTCAGGTACCGCCCCGGGGGCGGGGAGGGGCGGTAGGGTCAGGTCGGGGTCAAGGGTCAAGAACTAGTCGGGCTGGGGATGACCGGATGAGGGCAGAGGCCCGGGGCAGGTGACCCCTGTGCAGTGACAGGCATAGTGTCTGCAAGGTGAGGGCCTTTAGGCAGGAGCCTTCTGTTGCAGGGATCAGAGAAGGGAAACTGGTTTGCCTAGAAAGGCTCCTCTGGCAAGGATGGTCTGTCCACTGAAGGGTTAAAAGAAGGTGTAATTTATCGAAACTGCAAAACCCAGTCACTGTTGGCTCCTGTCCCAGCCTGTCCCAGATTCATCATCACAAGAGTGTTTAATCATACCCATGTGGAAAAATGAGCCATCTGCAGCAACATGGTCTCCTTACTTGGGGAGAGTCAGAAAAGTTTCTTGGGAGGTAGTCATTTGGAAGGCCTGACGTTTCTTGGAGCTCCCTTGGTGTTGTAGACCAGATTCTCATTTGAAAACGGAAACACTGTAGTAAATTGTTAGATTCTTTCCTCTCCTGATCTTCCCTTCCAAAAGTGCATTGTACTAAGTCCAAGAGTAGAAATAAGTTGTCTTCTGGGAATAGATTTCGATTTGTGAGTGTGGTCTCTTTTATGCCCACAGAAGGTGGTTTGACAGTGTAGAGCGTGGTCTTACTAAGACTCGTCACTAATGATACTGCACACCTCTTGATATTTTGAGGAAAAGTTGTACACATCTATATTTTCAGGACACTCTTTCCCAACCCCTCCTACCTTTAGCTTTCAGTCACTGTTCTCTTTTAGTTTCTGAGTTCTATAATTTGCATACTTGAAGGTAGTTTTTTTCCCAGGTCATTATTTACAGCCCTGTTACCCCATTTAATCTAAGTCAAAACTTCTCAACAGTGGGTGGAAAGGGGAGGGAGATGTTTGTCTAATTTCCAGAGGACATTTGTCAATATCTGGGGACAGTTTTGTTTGTCACACCTGGTGGCTGGCATCTAGTGGGTGGAGTCTAGGGAAGCTGCTAAATTTCCTATAATACACAAAACAGCCCCCATAACTTAGAATGATCTGACCTAGATGATTCATAGTTTTTCACCTGAATGTGATCTTGCAATACTGTGGGTCTGCTGTCCTTGTGTTTGGTATGGATGTCCTAGTAAGCTCAGAAAAGTGTCGTCGGAGTTACTTAATAAACACATTTATTAAATTTTCTTACAAACCATCTGCTTATTGAAGGAAATTTAATCCTGTTCTCATCAGTGGCTGGGGAGGGTGGTTGTGGACTGATTGAAGCATTTTGCAGCCATGTGTTTGGGTATTGTAGTTGGTTTTTGTCAGCCATTTAAGAAGGGTTTTAATGTTAGTAAGGAGTTCCTTTCTTATCTAGTAAATTAACACATTGCCCCTGGATAAATGTGAATGCTGTTGTTAAGTGCCATGGAATCAGTTCCGACCCATAGCGACCAGTATAGGATTTCCGAGGAGCAGCTGGTGAGCTTGAACCGCCAACCTTGCAGTTCAAACGGCTTTGCAGTCTGGTGCATTAACCCACAGCGCCACACCAGGACTCCAAATGTGTATGCATATGACATAAAATAGTTCTGAATTGACAACGCTCTTTAATAGAGTTAAAAGATTTTTAAAAATCATACATACTTAGCATATATGTGTGTGTATGTGCACACACTCACCGATGCAATCACTGCTGCTGGTGTAAAACGCAATTACGAACATATCCCTGATAGTTGCTCAAATAAACATTGGATTGGGGACCACAGAATGGCGGTTCAAAACCGCCAGCGGCTGTTTGAAACTCTATGCAACAACACCTACCGTACATTGGTTCAACCTTGTTAAATAAAAAATGAACGAAAGTGGTGTGCTGCGTTAAAACTTAGTTTCTTCATGATTTAAGGCTCACCTTAAAACCTCAGGTGATAAAATGGAAATATTATTTTAGACATATAAGCTTGACTATCTTGTTTTGTACTTCTCTATCATTTACTATTTAATTTACTTCAATAATACGCTTAAGCTGTATTGTGGACACACTGGCTACTTGTCAAGTCCCCTCGTTTCAATTTCGTGCTACTTAGAACTTTGCACTTTTGAGGATTGGTTCATGACTAGCTCATTCAGTGTGAGTTTTTTCCTAAGCAGCAGGCAGTGTGTTGTGAACGATGGCTGATGTCTTATAACAGGCAATTCTATCTGACAAGAATATTCTGTGTCTGAACTCCTTGGAGAATAGTTGTCTACTCTATTCTCAGTTGTTGTTAAATGCCTTCAAGTCGATTCCGACTCATAGCGACCCTGAATAGGGTTTCCAAGGAGCGACTGGTGCCATTAGCAGTTCACTGCTTATCCTGCAGCTCCACATCAGGACTCCCTGTTCTCAGTAGAGCATCTTAAACTCTGAATTTCATTCCCTGTGACCATTCTCCTGGGATATGGTTTGTTTGGTTTTGAGATGACGTATTTGTTCAAACTAACTTGGTTATTGCACAGCTTTTTTGTTGCTTTCCTTGTGGGAGCTGGAAAGTTATTTTCAAAGGTCAAATATCTGTGGTGCTCATTCTGACTTGTTGCTAAACATTTTCTTGAATGTACTGTAAATCTTCAGATGCTAACTTTTTATACAAACTCAATGAACATGGTAGAAAACCTGATTTGGATCAGTTGAAAACGAATCCGTTTCTACGTGGATTCAACTTAAGGTGGATCACAAACCGTTTTAACCATACTTATTTGCTAATAACTATGTATGAGACTCTGAATTTATGCAAAATGGGAGGGACACACATGAACAGATTTGTGCCACATGTGTGCAGTTTGGGGCGGCTATTTATTGTCTGCCCAGTAGTGTTATTATGAGCATTTTATTCCTCGGTCTTGATTTTCTTCTACAAAGTTCCATTCTGAGGTGATAGGATAAATGTGAGGGGTTCCTGAGTGGTGCAAATGGTTAAGCGCTTGACTACTAGTCAGAAGGTGTTGTAGGATAAGCACTAGACTACTAAGGAGTCCTGGTGTGTCACTGTAGGATCAGCACTGGACTGCTAACCATCAGCTGCTCCTTGGAAACCCTAGATAGTTACTATGAGTCAGAACTGACTAGAGGGCACTTAACGACAACACTAACCACAAGGTTGGCGGTTCAAACCCACCAGCCATTCCTTAGAAACCGTAAGCAGGGTCGCTTTGAATGGGAACTGACTTGACTGCATTTAACAACAACAGAGGTACCTTGGAAGACAAGCTTGGCGACCGTCTCCAATTGGTTACAGTCTTGAAAACTCTGCGAAGCAGTGTTACTTTGTTCCCGTGGGGTTGTCAAGAGTTGGCGTTTAGTAAGAACAGCAACAGAATGAATACTTGTGAGGGTGGTGGTGGCTCAGTGGCAGAATTTCTACCTTTGACGCAGGAGACCCATGTTTGATTCTTGGCCAATGCACGTCGTTTTCAACCTCCACTTGTCTGCCCGTGGAGGCTGGTGTGTTACTACCATGCGGAACAGGATTCAGTGGAGTTCCCACACTAAGGCCAACTAGGATGAGTAAGAGCTGGAGATGGACTTCCAAGTGGTCACTCTACAGTTCAGTCCTGGTGTGCATGGAGTTATCATGAGCCTGCATCTGGTTCACCAACAGCTAACAATAGGATGCATGTAGCATGATGTGATTTAATTATGTTGGCTTGTGACTTTAGCCCTCAGTGATTATTTTTCAATCTCTCCCATCACTATTTTACTTATCAGTGTCTTATAAAAAACCCAATAGCTCACAAAGCGGCTGCCTTATCTGTGAATAGGTGGGTTAAGAGTTAACACTCCCACTGGTAATGTGAACACCTGCACCCATCTGTTCACACAGGTTCTAATAATGCTAACCCCTGATTTAGCCTACCCCCAGGGAGATTAATTTAAACAAATCCATGCTTGTTAATGCAAGGTATGGCTGAGACTTATTAATTGGCCTGAAATTAAGTAAATGGAGAAAGTCTCAGATTTTGGTAGAACGTTTTTGAGTGCTTCCTGAGTCTGTCAAGTTTGAATAGGAAGGTGTGCCACTGGTTGCCAGTTGAGCAGTAAAACGATGCCTTCTGTCAGGGTTCCTGATAGTATTTGTGGCAGTTCATATATTATCACCCTAAGTAGGTTTTTTAAAAGGGTGTGGTTTGATAAGGTATTAGATGCATTGGTATAGTATAGAAACTTCTGAGAAAGTTCCTTGCTGTCATTTAAGCCCATTATTTGAATAATCATTTTCTAACTGGTCTGCTTGACTCTTGTCATTTCTAGTGTTTGGTTTTCTGCATGAATCTTGCAGATCAATATCTTTGAAAGGCAGTTTTCCTCTGCAAAAGAAGTTTTGGTATATATCGCTTGCCTTTTTCATCAAGTCTAAACTGGTTGGATTCTAGATTCGTGTTGCAACCTGAGCATGTCATTTGCCTGCCCTGTGCTGCTGTTTCCCATTTGTAAAATGATTATGACTGTCCCTGTAGTTCATTGGAAGTCCCTGGGTGGTGCAGTTCACGTGCTCAGCTGCTGATGGAAAAACTGGTGGTTGAGTCCTACCCAGAGGTGCCTCAGAAGAAAGGCCTGGTGATCTGCTTCAGGGAAGTCAGCCACTGAAATCCTAACTGTGCTTTAATACCCATGGGCTTTCCATGAGGTGGAATCAGCTAGATGACAACTGGCTGTAGCATACTGTCACATAAGGTTCAATTCCAAAACAATAGAATCAACATGAGGCTATGTAAGAAAGTGCTACTCCTAGCACTCTAGGTCATCCATGCACAGGTTTCCATTTAAATGTGTCAATGTCACCAGTGGATGGATGGCTGCAGACAAGTTCTCTCAGTAAAACATTCATTTTACCTTAAAAAAAAAAATCCAATTGAAACAGTAGTTTTCAAGGGGATTTGCTGAGCCAGTTTAATTCAAGGCAGAGAGATCAGCTTAGAAGGTTATAGCAGACGCTTTTTGGAATTTGCAAAGG